AGTAAGGCCAATTTCAAATGTTAAAAACCTTAATGCTTGCTTGTGGGGACACCTTTAGACCCATATGCAAGTTACAGGAAGAAGGATGGGATATCAAAAGTAAAGTCAAACCCAGGTGGTAACCAGGATGCTTTTTTCAATATCTATTTTATTATTGCCCTTTCCCACATCATGAAGTTCTGTTTTGTATTTTGAGCTTTTACAGACTTAGGTTAATATTTGTCTGATCAGTTCTATTTTTTGACTATGGAGTTTATAAATATTGCAATGGGAATTTCACCTGTGAAAAGCTACTATTATGTGTTGTATGCATTGTGTTATGTGTGCACACTTGTGTTATGTGTATATCTGTATGTGTGTATGTCCATATATCCTATATGAGGAGCACTCATGTAAAAAATGGATCCAAATATTTTTTTTTATTCACGTGATTTAAACGGTTTAATTTAAATTAGGTAAACAGCTGTTGAGGATTGTTTTAAAATGTGGTTAACAGATCTGTTTGTTTACTTTCACCTTTCCTTTTCATTATATCTACTTCTATTCAGGATACTAAATTGTTTAGAAAATTGCTTTTTTTTAGTGCCTGCTGAAGTGTTGCATAATTTTTTTTAGTCATCATTGCCAGAATTCCTATCTTCATCCCAGTGCCGGTGAACACAAACATAAAAACACACTACAGCTTCTGTGATAGCTATCACAACAAACTGTATAAACTGATGCATCAATGATTAGTGTAACTCAACACGTGATACTCATTCAAGGAGTCAAATTACTTTGGGAGGAAATGGACATATTAATGGATACCTCTGCTTTGGACTACTTGCAAAACTTGCCTGGACTATGTATCACTTGTATGCATTTTGAATTATCTGTTAGTGCAGCAAATTGTGGTAGTGTTGGGGTATCTTTGCTGATGGTGTCATAGGTGGTACACTTTTTCCAAAAGGAGCCACCAATTGGCTTGGTGTTGTGGTATTTTGTATCCTCCTCCCTTCTGCTTGTGATGGTAGTTATCCACAAGTCTGGCTAAAAATGCTGGGCCGGTAGTCAATGAGGGGTAAGATCCAATTGCAATGGTACCA